CATAATGTTATATGCCAAATTTTGAAATGCTATTTTCATAGTTTAACTTTTATGTAAATTTTATGCTAATGTATAAGCATCTAATCATTCTCTCTTCAAGGAATATGGGATTTATGCTTTTATTATTTAAAGAAATATTATGGGATACAAACTTGTATCCTATTTGTTCTAAAACATGTCAAAATGTTTGAAGCCCACTAAAATCACCGAGCTTGTCTAGATTAATTTAAAAACAAACAAGCATAGCAGTAAGGCAGCATTACCTGTATTCACGCTCTCGTTTTCAGTGGACAATGTTTTCTGTTTTTTCTTCTTTTTAGCCAAACTGGCAACTTCATCAGTGAGATCAGTTTTTCTCTCACTTTCACCCTTCTCTGTTTTACGCTGCACTCCCTCCATCTCTGGTTCTTCACGTTTTCTTTTCTTCTGTTCTTTATCCCCCTGGTGGTCCTCATCTTCATCAGCTCTGTCTGAGACGCTCTGCCGCTCTCTGGCTTTGACCTGCTCCTGAAGTTTAGCCAGTAAAGCTCTGGAGCGAAACTCTCTGCTGGATTCACTGTCCTCCTCCTCCCCTAAATACCTGATCACAACATGTAACACATCAATGGGACACCGTGTTAAGAAATAACACACATTTTAACCTGTAGATTTTAGGTTACATTGAATGTATAAGAGAAACTGTATAAAGGCTTGTTTTTTTTTTCTTTTATGTATATTTTTCATTCTTCTTATGATATTTTTGCAGTTTACAGCAATGTGACATTAATTTGAAATGTAATAGTACATCAAGTTTCAAGTCGCATGTAAAATAATAATAATAAGAAGAAAAATGTGTTTTAAAGTTAATTTAAGAAGAAGCGTCCTATGCCAGACTGTACAACCAAACAGAAGTGCGATGTAGAATGAGCGCCATTACTTATGATTAAACTGGTAAAATAATTTACTATAAGAACAACTATGAACTAAATATGCAGCAAGCACTATATACTTTTGATGTAAAGAATACATACCTATTTATCATAAACAGTGCCATTACAGTGACTCCTGGCTCGTGTCAGCGCCACGTAGACCTTTATTTCAATCACGCAGTCATAAATTGTTATAATTTATGTATCTATGTACAGTTTTCAGAAATGAAACGTGCACGGTTCAGTGGACCACGTGGGTTCGTGAATGCTGGTTTACAGTCGCGAACTGATGACGTGGCGAACGGCCACAGAAATAATTGCTGGTCCCATAAAAGCAGAGGATTGCGGTCTAGACGTCGTTTTTAATTGGTCAGGTATGTGTCAGTAATTTCCCATTTTAAATCTTCGCTGCTTATCATTATTCATGAACATAAAAACACTATTGTCACGTGGAACATGTTCTTTTCTCAGCGCTGACGGGAATAGACGCCGTCTGGAGGAAGAACCACGCTCCTGCCCAATCAGACCGCTAGATGGCAGTGTTTACAGACACCTTTACAAACACAGAACTAGACGAGAGACAATGTCATTGTACTTTACAAGCGTATTTATCATCAAAATAAGTGTCGCACATTTTATTTTATTTTTTTAAAGATGTCTCTCTTCTGCTCATCAAGGCTGCATATACAGAGGTGGCCAAAATTATTAGAAGACTAGTATTTTCACCAGCTAAAAATGGTTTTAAGTCAGTTATTTCTATCTTTTGCTGTAGTGTGTCAGTAGGAAGTATCAGTTTACATTTCCAAACATTCATATTGCCATTAATTGTAATAATCCAGTGAGATTTTAGTCTGACAGCAGCCAGTGCTCCACACAGAGATCTGATCTGATCCTCATCAGTCTGTCTGAGATTACATGAAGAAACAGAACAAACTGAGACAGACTCAATCCAGAAGAACTGTGGCAATGTCTCCAAGATGCTTCAAGAACCCTATTTGCAAAGTTACCTGAAAAACTCAGGTACAAGCTCAAGTGCACCGAGGGCAAAAGCTGCTTTAAGCGCAAAAGATGCTCACACCAAATGTTGATTTCATTTAGTTAAAGGTGGGGTAAGTGATTTCTGGTAGCCAATGTTGACATTTGAAATCACCAAAACAAACACGGCCCTACCCAAAAAGGGTCTCGCCCCACACATACGTATGCAACCCAGGCAACGATTAGTTCTGTGAAACAAAGCAAAACCAATGTTACAGCGTGTCTACACCGGACGTTCTCTCCAGCGCTGGAAAGCTGATCCGATCGCAGGCCTTCCGCTCCTTGAGTTCTCTCCAGCGCTGGAAAGCTGATCCGATCGCAGGCCTTCCGCTCCTTGAGTTCTCTCCAGCGCTGGAAAGCTGATCCGATCGCAGGCCTTCCGCTCCTTGAGTTCTCTCCAGCGCTGGAAAGCTGATCAGATATTTACATGGGTCCTACTTCTTGCCTTATTGCCTTAAGCCTTCTTTTGTTCCGCAGACGTTTTCCTCTTTTGTTTTTTATCCGCCATCTCTATCTTTCTGTCGTCGCTCGGCTCGGCTAATGTCCATCCTGTGCACTGAGCGCTCTCTCCTCCACATCATGAGTAGACACGCCCCTTACTGCTGATTGGCTACAAGTTTGTTTTGCTATTCGGCCCGAATCAGTTTTCGAAAGCGTTTTTGAAAAATCGCTTACCCCACCTTTAATAGAAGTTAATTGATAAAGAAAATTTATGACATTATTTTTGACAGCATCCTCATTTTACAGCATTTTTACACAAGTGCCTACAACTTTTAACAGCACTGTAGCTTCACAGGTAGGTTTCTTGAAGCATCTTGGAGACGTTGCCACAGTTCAGTTAATGGTAAAATTAATGTTTGGAAATGTAAACTGATATTTCCTACTGACACACTACGGCAAAAGATAGAAATAACTGACTTAAAACCATTTTTTATTTTAGCTGGTGAAGATACTAGTGCTCTAATCATTTTGGCCACCACTGTATTTGATGCAAAATACAGTAAAAACATATTGTGAGATATTACAGTATTACAATTTAAAATAACCTTTTTCTATTTGAATATAGTTTAAAAATTATTAATTTGATGCAAATATAAATTTGCATCAATTAGTGCAGTCTTCAGTGACACGCAAACTTTCAGAAATCATTCTAATATGCTGATTTGCTGCATTAAGCAATACAACACAACGGCACTTTTTAAACAGGTTTCATTTATTATTACATACACATTCTACACCAGTGAGTGTTTTGCATAACTCAAGTATTTCAAAAAGACAAGTGCTTCCAGATTCATTCAAAAGGCCACCAAACAATCATGGCTGTTTCGACATTAAACATAAAAAATATGAACAATCCCCAATCTCAAACTCATATAAAACACCTTTCCACAAACAGCAATGTGGATACACAACTAAAATTCACCCCTTGTAATAGAAACGTTATCTCAACTCTTAGTGTCAGTGAAAAAGTGTGTGATGCACCTGCCTAGTTCTTACAGGTGTACTGAAAACCTATGCAGCAAAAGAAACGGGTTTCATGGGATCGGACTGAATATGAGCATATCTGCATACATTGCAATTAATAACTGATTTAGTGTATATTGTGACCAGCAGAGATAACAGCGTCTTTGTACTAGAGCTGCCTGTGTTTAAACATAATAAAGGGAATGTGCAGTGTGTATTGATAACTAGAAATCAAATATTACACTGAACAGAATATAAGTCACATTCTATTACAGTCGTGTGCAATATAATCCAGCATCAATTGGATTTAACGTCCAGCTGTTTAATATGAGCCCAGTACTAATGTGCTTAATGAAAAACATCATAAGATCGTTTTAAACACTGTATACTAGCGCTGCACTTTCATAAATATACTGTGCACTAGATTCGGTGTTGCTTGTACAATATTTAGAGCTTATATCTGCTTACTTTTCATTGGCTTTCGTGCTAAACATGATTATCAGGAAACTACTCAATTGGAGCAAACTCTTGATGAGTCCAAATGAAAAAGGCCATTCAACATATGGATAATCTAAAAGGTTTTTGGAAAAAAAAAAAAGATTTTAAAACTGTCAGACATAATGTCAAAATTGCAATACATTCAGGTTTTTGCAGACATCATTTCTAGTGACATTTTTTTTTAGTGAATGCAAAGTTTGACAGTTGGATGCTTTCCACATTCAGCTGTGCAAATATAACAAATACGTATAGCTGTAATAATGAATCTGACAGGCATAATTTGTCCAGGTCACATTTGACCCTAAAATCAAAAGAAAAACAAATGACAATATATATTTCTTGAATGAAAATGAAGCTTATTTTAGGACCATTAAGATTATGTATATATATATATATATATATATGTGTGTGTGTGTGTGTGTGT